GAAGGAAGAAAAGAAGGGAAAAGAAGGAAGAAAGGAAGGAAGAAAGAAAAGGAAAGGAAGGAAGGAAGAAAGAAAGGAAAGAGGAAGAAGGAAAAAGAAAGGAAGAAGAAGGAAGGGAAGGAAGAAGGAAGGAAGGAAAGAAGGAAAGAAATAAGGAAGGAAAGAAAAGTAAGAAGGAAGGAAGGAAGGGAAGGTAAGGAAGAAGGAAGGGAGGGAGGGAGGGAGGAAGGAAGAAGAAATGAAGGAAGTAAAGAAGGAAAGAAAGAAGTCAAGATGGAAGGAAGGAAAAAAGAAAGGAAGGAAAGAAGGAAGGAAGGAAATATGGAAGTAAAGAAGGAAGGAAAGGTAGGTAGAAAAGAAGGAAAGCAGAAGATGGAGAAGCTCCATTCTCTCGACAAAAACAAGACCAGGAACAGATTGCGGCACAATAGTTTCGGACCTGAAATTGGTGTTAAACTGGATTAATTCTACAGTGTAGATATACTTCAGGCTTTATGGGACTCTGGAGATATATATGTGTGTGTGTGTGTGTGTGTGTGTGTGTGTGTGTGTGTAGAGAGAGATCAAATAGAAAGCAAATAATCCATAATTGGAAAGCAGAAGATGGAGAAGCTCCATTCCCTCGACAAAAACAAGATCAGGAACAGATTGCGGCACAATAGTTTCGGACCTGAAATTAGTGTTAAACTGGATTAATTCTACAGTGTAGATACACTTCGGGCTGTAGGGGACTCTGGAGATGTGTGTGTGTGTGTGTATAGAGAGAGAGAAAGAGAGAGAGATCAAATAGAAAGCAAGTAATCCATAATTGAAAAGCAGAAGATGGAGAAGCTCCATTCTCTCGACAAAAACAAGACCAGGAACAGATTGCGACACAATAGTTTCGGACCTGAAATTGGTGTTGAACTGGATTAATTCTACAGTGTAGATGCACTTCAGGCTGTAGGGGACTCTGGAGATGTGTGTGTGTGTGTGTGTGTGTGTGTGTGTGTGTATAGAGATCAAATAGAAAGCAAATAATCCATAATTGAAAAGCAGAAGATGGAGAAGCTCCATTCTCGCAACAAAAACAAGACCAGGAACAGATTGCGGCACAATAGTTTCAGACCGGAAATTGGTGTTGAATTGGATTAATTCTACAGTGTAGATACACTTCGGGCTGTAGGAGACTCTGGAGATGTGTGTGTGTGTGTGTGTGTATATATATAGAGAGAGATCAAATAGAAAGCAAATAATCCATAATTGAAAAGCAGAAGATGGAGAAGCTCCATTCTCTCGACAAAAACAAGACCAGGAACAGATTGCGGCACAATAGTTTCAGACCTGAAATTGGTGTTAAACTGGATTAATTGTACAGTGTAGACACACTTTGGCTTGTAGGGGACTCTGGAGATATATGTGTTTGTGTGTGTGTGTAAAAGCAGAAGATGGAGAAGCTCCATTTTCTTGACAAAAACAAGACTAGGAACAGATTGTGGCACTATAATTTCAGACCTGAAATAAGTGTTAAACTGGATTAATTCTACAGTGTAGACACATTTTGGGCTGTAGGGGAATTTGGAGGTGTGTGTGTATATATATATATATATAGAGAGAGAGAGAGAGAGATCAAATAGAAAGCAAATAATCCATAATTGAAAAGCAGAAGATGGAGAAGCTCCATTCTCTCAACAAAAACAAGACCAGGAACAGATTGCAGCACAATAGTTTGGGACCTGAAATTGGTGTTGAACTAGATTAATTCTACAGTGTAGATACACTTCAGGCTGTAGGGGACTCTGGAGATGTGTGTGTGTGTGTGTGTGTGTGTGTGTGTGTAGAGAGAGAGATCAAATAGAAAGCAAATAACCCATAATTGGATTAATTCTACAGTGTAGACACACTTCGGGCTGTAGGGGACTCTGAAGATGTGTGTGTGTGTGTGTGTGTATAGAGAGAGAGATCAAATAGAAAGCAAATAACCCATAATTGAAAAGCGGAAGATGGAGAAGCTCCATTCTCTCTACAAAAACAAGTCCAGGAACAGATTGCGGCACAATAGTTTCAGGCCTGAAATTGGTGTTAAACGGGATTAATTCTATAGTGTAGATACACTTCAGGCTGTAAGGGAGTCTGGAGATTATGTGTGTGTGTGTTTGCGTATATATATATATATATATATAGAGAGAGAGAGAGAGAGATCAAATAGAAAGCAAATAATCCATAATTGAAAAGCAGAAGATGGAGAAGCTCCATTCTCTCAACAAAAACAAGACCAGGAACAGATTGCAGCACAATAGTTTGGGACCTGAAATTGGTGTTGAACTGGATTAATTCTACAGTGTAGACACACTTTGTGTTGTAGGGGACTCTGGATACAGATAGATAGATAGATAGATTACATGACATCGAATAGAAATCAAATAGAATCCATAATTGGAAAGCAGAAGATGGAGAAGCTCCATTCTCTCGACAAAAACAAGACCAGGAACAGATTGCGGCACAATAGTTTCGGACCTGAAATTAGTGTTAAACTGGATTAATTCTACAGTGTAGATACACTTCGGGCTGTAGGGGACTCTGGAGATATATATGTGTGTGTGTGTGTGTGTATATAGAGAGAGAGATCAAATAGAAATCAAATATAATCCATAATTGAACAGCAGAAGATGGAGAAGCTCCATTCCCTCGACAAAAACAAGACCAGGAACAGATTGCGGCACAATACTTTCAGACCTGAAATTAGTGTTAAACTAGATTAATTCTACAGTGTAGACACACTTTGGCTTGTAGGGGACTCTGGAGATATATGTGTTTGTGTGTGTGTGTAAAAGCAGAAGATGGAGAAGCTCCATTCTCTCAACAAAAACAAGACCGGGAACAGATTGCAGCACAATAGTTTCAGACCTGAAATTGGTGTTGAACTGGATTAATTCTACATTGTAGACACACTTCGAGCTGTAGGGGACTCTGGAGACGTGTGTGTGTGTAGAGAGAGAGAGAGAGAGAGATATCAAATAGAAAGCAAATAATCCATAATTGAAAAGCAGAAGATGGAGAAGCTCCATTCTCTCGACAAAAACAAGACCAGGAACAGATTGCGGCACAATAGTTTCAGACCGGAAATAAGTATTAAACTGGATTAATTCTACAGTGTAGATACACTTCAGGCTGTAGGGGACTCTGGAGATGTGTGTGTGTGTGTAGAGAGAGAGAGAGAGAAAGAAAGAGAGAGAGAGAGAGAGATCAAATAGAAAGCAAATAATCCATAATTGGAAAGCAGAAGATGGCGAAGCTCCATTGCCTCAACAAAAACAAGACCAGTGTTGTGGTTCAACAGGCCCCTGAGCAGCCTGAGTCTGGTGGTTTTCAGTTTTCACAGTTTTCTCAGCCTGCAGTCGAGATGGAGAAGCAGTTCTCACAGGACAGGAATGCAGCTGATAAGGAGGAGGGCCAGGTGCTTCTTCAAAGGGATAATGAAACCGTGAGACGGAACTGTCGGATCACAGCCAAGTTAGGTCAGCGACAGGTCAAGGGAGCAGTGGGAAAGCAGATTGTGGGAAACTAGATTGTTTTGATGTGCAAAATGTATTTAGGGCTTCCTCGGGCAATTCTTAGCTGTCAGTTCCAACATGGCTATCTGCTAGCTGTTTCATGCTTCTGCTTTGGAGATGTGTGTGTGTGTGTGTGTAGAGAGAGAGATCAAATAGAAAGTAAATAGTCCAGAAGATGGAGAAGCTCCATTCCCTCAACAAAAACAAGACCAGGAACAGATTGCAGCACAATAGTTTGGGACCTGAAATTGGTGTTGAACTGGATTAATTCTACAGTGTAGACACACTTCAGGCTGTAGGGGACTCTGGAGATATGTGTGTGTGTGGGTGTAAAAGCAGAAGATGGAGAAGCTCCATTCTCTCGACAAAAACAAGACCACGAACAGATTGCGGCACAATAGTTTCAGACCTGAAATTGGTGTTAAACTGGATTAATTGTACAGTGTCGATACACTTCGGGCTGTAGCGGACTCTGGAGATATGTGTGTGTGTGTGTGTGTGTGTGTGTGTATAGAGAGAGAGATCAAATAGAAAGCACATAATCCATAATTGGAAAGCAGAAGAAGGAGAAGCTCCATTCTCTCGACAAAAACAAGACCAGGAACAGATTGCGGCACAATAGTTTCGGACCTGAAATTGGTGTTAAACTGGATTAATTCTACAGTGTAGATACACTTCGGGCTGTAGGGGACTCTGGAGATGTGTGTGTGTGTGTGTGTGTGTATAGAGAGGGGGGGGAGAGAGAGAAAGAGAGAGAGAGAGAGATCAAATAGAAAGCAAATAATCCATAATTGAAAAGCAGAAGATGGAGAAGCTCCATTCTCTCGACAAAAACAAGACCAGGAACAGATTGCGACACAATAGTTTCGGACCTGAAATTGGTGTTAAAGTGGATTAATTCTACAGTGTAGACACACTTCGGGTTGTAGGGGACTCTGGAGATATATATATATATATATATATATATATATATATATATATATATATAGAGAGAGAGAGAGAGAGAGAGAGAGAGAGAGAGAGATAGATAGATTACATGACCGAATAGAAATCAAATATAATCCATAATTGGAAAGTGGAGGATGGAGAAGCTCCATTCTCTCGACAAAAACAAGACCAGGAACAGATTGCGGCACAATAGTTTCAGACCTGAAATTAGTGTTGTTGTTGTTGTTCCTTCGTTCAGTCGTCTCCGACTCTTTGTGACCTCATGGAACAGCCCACGCCAGAGCTCCCTGTCAGCCGTCACCACCCCCAGCTCCTTCAAGGTCAGTCCAGTCACTTCAAGAAATTAGTGTTAAACTGGATTAATTCTACTGTGTAGACACACTTTGGGCTGTAGCAGACTCTGGAGATATGTGTGTGTGTGTGTAAAAGCAGAAGATGGAGAAGCTCCATTCTCTCGACAAAAACAAGACCAGGAACAGATTGCGGCACAATAGTTTCGGACCTGAAATTATTACGGGAGAAAGTGGAAATGCATGTTTAATGACCATAGACAAGTTGCCAACATAAGGATATATCCATTCCTCTCCCTGTCTTCCAACTGGACGTAATGGTTTCCTCTTAAAACGGAGATGCGTAGTCCTTCCAAGTGCAGCAATGCAATGTGGTTGTTCAACGAAATGTCACCGAAGGCAATAAGTTACCCGTAGACTTAACTCCGAGCTGAAGAGCTTTTCTTGTTGTCCTTTGATTTGGCATTTATATCCTAAGGTACTCATGGCACCACTTAATCATAACGATAACAATAGTAATAGTAGTAATAATAATCCATTGCAAGTGAGGAAAATCCCATGTTCGGACTCCATTCTCGGCATCTCAAGGGCTCAGCTCCGTTTCCACAGACCGTCTTAGCCAACGAGAAAAGTCACTCGGAAACAGAGGATCTCAATTGCTTTTCCTGGCAGCTTTTCCCTGTTTCGGGCCTGTTGGAAGAAATGCACAAACCCATTACACATACAGCAGGGGATTGTGGGGGTTGACCTTGATTTTGGGAGTTATAGTTCACCTGCATCTAGAGAGCACTGAGCCAATGTTGGATCTGGACCAAACTTGGCACACAGACCCAACATGGCCAACTGTGAATACTGGCGGGATTTGGGGTTGACTGCCCTTGGCATATGGGAGTTGTAGTTCACACATATGCAGAGAGAACTTGTGATCGGAGGTGACCCCCGCCTCCCCCAGACTGTAAAAGATAGCTCAAATCAGGGAATTCATAGTTTTGCCAAGGACACCAGGCTGGAATGATCCCATAATCCCCGATCTCTCTTCCTGAACTTCCATGCACCCTCCCACATGAACTCTTATAGGAACTTTTATAAACTCTTGCCAAACTTTAGGAACTTTTATAGACTTTTTTTGGGGGGGTGACGTGACTTCCCCTTAGACCCTCCATTATTCCTCTTTTTCCTATGAACTCTGTGCATGCTCCCTTGCCCCGTTCCTCATTCCCTATATGTATATATGTCTATAAAAGGAAATATGAAGAAAAGCCACCTTTCTATGAACCAAGCACTCATGGCTCTTGGGGTTTCCAAACTCCCTGAATATTTTCATGATTATGACTGGGAATATTTGTCATGATTGTTTTTGTGAATATTTTGTGAATATTTTTGGAATATTTTTTGATGGTTTTTGTTAATATTTTTGATTATTTTATTATTTTGTGAATATTTTTTCATGATTATTTTTGTGAATTTTTTCATGATGATTACTGGGAATATTTTCATGATTATTTTTTGTGAATATTTTATGAATATTTTTGGAATATTTTTGATGGTTTTGGTGAATATTTTTGATTATTTTAGATTATTTTTGTGAATATTTTATGGATATTCTGTGAATATTTTTTCATGGTTATTTTGTGAATATTTTTATTATAATAATTGTGAATATTTGGTGATTTTTGTGACTATTATTTTTAATGATTATTTTTGTGAATATATTTTCATGATTATTTTATGGATATTTTGTGATAATTTTTGTGAATTTTTTTGATTATTTTTGTGAATATTTTCTGAATATTTTTGGAATATTTTTGATGGTTATTGTGAATATTTTTATTTTAGATTTTTTGTGAATATTTTATGGATATTTTTGTGAATATTTTTGGTGATTTTTGTGAATATTATTTTTAATGATTATTTTTGTGAATACATTTTCATGATTATTTTTGTGAATATTTTATGCATATTTTTGTGAATATTTTGATGGGTTTTGTGAATATCTTTATTTTAAGATTATTTTGTGAATATTTTTATTATAATAATTGTGAATATTTGGCGATTTTTTGTGAATATTATTTTTAATGATTATTTTTGTGAATATATTTTCCTGATTATTTTTGTGAATATTTGGTGATTTTTGTCAATATTATCTTTCATGGTTATTTTTGCGAATATATTTTCATGATTATTTTTGTGAATATTTTATGGATATTTTTCTGAATATTTTTATTATAATTATTGTGAATATTTGGTGATTTTTGTGAATATTATTTTAATGATTATTTTTGCGAATATATTTTCCTGATTATTTTTGTTAATATCTTATGGATATTTTTCTGAATATTTTTTCATGATTATTTTGTGAATATTTTTATTATAATTGTGAATATTTGGTGATTTTTGTGAATATTATTTTTAATGATGATTTTTGTGAACATTTTTTCATGATTATTTTGTGAATATTTTCATGATTATTTTGTGAATAGTTTCTGAATATTTTTGTGAATATTATTTTTAATGATGATTTTTGCGAATATATTTTCATGATTTTTTTGTGAATATTTTATAGATATTTTTGTGAATATTTTTACATGATTATTTTATGAATATTTTTATTATAATGATTGTGAATATTTGGTGATTTTTGTGAATATTATTTTTAATGATGATTTTTGTGAATATTTTTTCATGATTATTTTGGTAATATTTTTATTATAATAACTGTGAATATTTGGTGATTTTTGTGAATATTATTTTCATGATTATTTTTGTGAATATTATTTTAATGATTATTTTTGTGAATATTTGATAATTTTTGTGAATATTATTTTTAATGATTATTTTTGTGAATATTTTATGGATATTTTGTGAATATTTTTTCATGATTCTTTTGTGAATATTTTTATTATAATAATTGTGAAGATTTGGTGATAAATATTATTTTTCATTTTTTGGTGGATATTTTCATGATGATTACTGGGAATATCTGATGATTTTTGTGAATATTATTTTTCATGATTATTTTTTGTGAATATTTTCATGATTATTTTGTGAATATTATTTTTCACGATTATTTTTGTGATTTTTTATGAATATTTTTGTGAATATTTTTGATTATTTTATGATTATTTTGTGAATATTATTTTTAATTATTATTTTTGTGAATATATCAGGGTGCCGCTGGTATATTCACAAAAAGTTTGTGTCATCCAAATAGTATGTCATTTCTGCACAATTTTATGGTTGCTTGAGAGTTCTGGTTAACTGAGAGTCTCGGAAATATTCCTTCCATATTTCTGGGAATATGAAACATGTGAAAGCATGGAACGGGGAGCGGGCGATCCCTTTGACCCTGTCCCGTCCTTGCGTCCGTCCATTCGGCAACTTGAGAAATCTGGACGAGGCTCATATTTCGCCGGGAAGGAAACCGTGAAGACTGACCTCATCCGTCTCGGGCGCCGAAGGGCTTAGGAGTATTGGCCGGACGCCCTCTTGACCACCGCTATGATGACCGCCGTGGCCACGCCGATGGCCGCGATGATGCCCACGATGATGCCCACCAGCGTCGCCGTCTCCAGGCCATCTGAAACAAAGGCAACAGCATAGAATATTAGGAATATTTCATGATTATTTTGTGAATATTTTTATTATTTTTATGGTGACTTTTGTAAATATTTTTGTGAATATTTTTTCATGATTATTTCATGAATATTTTGTGAATATTATTATTATTGTGAATATTTTTGTGAATATTTTATGAATATTTTGGGAATATTTTTGTGAATATTTTATGAATATTTTGGGAATATTTTTTATTATTTCATGATTACTTTTGTGAATATTTTTGATTATTTTTATCGTTATTTTTGTTGATATTTTTCATGATTATTTTTGTGAATATTTTTAATGAATTTTGTGAATATTTTTTGATTATTTCATGAATATTTTATGAATATTTTTTGATTATTTCATGAATATTTTATGAATATTTTTTGATTATTTCATGAATATTTTATGAATATTATTATTGTGAATATTTTCCTTATTATTATTGTGAATATTTTATGAATATTTTTGGAATATTTTTGATTATTTTATGATTATTTTTGTGAATATTTTCATGATTATTTTTGTAAATATTTTATGAATAATTTTGTGAATATTTTGATGAATTTTATGAATAATTTTAGATCATTTTTATGAATATTTTGTGAATATTTTTATGTCTTTGTAATATTTAGATGATTTTTTCATGATTATTTTTGTGGATATTTTTCATGATTATTTTGTGAATATTTTGATTATTTTCATGATGACTTTTGTGAATATTTTTGTGAATATTTTTCATGTTTTTTGTGAATATTTTTGTGAATATTTTTATTATTATTGTGAATATTTTATGAATATTTTGTGAATATTTTTATGATTTTGTAATATTTTGATGATTTTTGTGAATATGTTTTGTTATTTTCATGATTATTTTTGTGAATTTTTTTCATGATTATCTATCTATCCATCCATCCATTCATCCATCCATCTCTACGTCTATCTATCTATCTATCTATCTATCTATCTATCTATCTATTTATCTATCTTGTATTCCTATTCCTTGTCTATGTATTATTATTATTATTATTATTATTATTATTATTATTATTATTATTACTTTACTTGTATACCGCTGTTTCTCAGCCTAACTGGCGACTCAACGCGGTTTACAACAGGATAATCAAACAACAATATACAATTTAAAACCGTAAAAGCACAATACAAAATTAACACAACAATAACAACACTATGCATCTCATCACTGGAGTCGTAATCCAAATTCGTCGTCCATTTTCCATTCCTATAACGTCACATTCATTGCACTGATTAACCAAATGCTTGTTCAAACATCCAGGTTTTTAATCTTTTCCGGAACACCATCAGCGAGGGGGCTGATCTTATCTCTATGGGGAGGGCATTCCAAAGCCGAGGGGCCACCACAGAAAAGGCCCTGTCTCTCGTCCCCGCCAGCCGCACCTGTGAAGCAGGCGGGATAGAGAGCAGGGCCTCCCCAGAAGATCTTAGGGTCCTGGTGGGCTGATAGGCCGAGATACGTTCGGATAGATATGTTGGGCCAGAACCGTTTAGGGCTTTAAAGGCCAATGCCAGCACTTTGATTTGAGCCCGGTAGCAAATCGGCAGCCAGTGGAGTTGGCGCAACAGGGGGTTCGTATGCTCCCTGCGCTCCGCTCCTGTTAGTATCATGGCTGCCGAACGTTGGACTAATTGGAGCTTCTGAGCCNGAATTGGGCCCGGTAGCATATCGGCAGCCAGTGGAGCTGGTGCAGCAGAGGAGTTGTATGCTCCCTGCGCCCGGCCCTGTTAGTATCATGGCTGCCGCCCGTTGGACTAATTGGAGCTTCCGGGCTGTCTTCAAAGGCAACCCCACGTAGAGAGCGTTGCAGTAGTCAAGGCGGGATGTAACCAGAGCGTGGACTACCATGGCCAAGTCAGACTTCCCAAGGTACGGGCGCAGTTGGCGCACAAGTTTTAACTGTGCGAATGCTCCCCTGGTCATCGCCGAAACCTGGGGTTCCAGGCTCAGCGATGAGTCCAGGATCACACCCAAACTGCGAACCTGCGTCTTCAGGGGGAGTGCGACCCCGTCTAACACAGGCTGTAACCCTATACCCTGTTCGGCCTTGCGACTAACCAGGAGTACCTCAGTCTTGTCTGGATTCAATTTCAATTTGTTCGCCCCCATCCAGATCGTCACAGCGGCCAAGCACCAGTTCAGGACCTCGACAGCCTCCTTAGTAGCAGGTGGAAAGGAGTGACAGAGTTGAACATCATCTGCGTACAGATGACATCGCACTCCGAAACTCCGGATGATCTCGCCCAGCGGCTTCATGTAGATGTTAAACAACATGGGAGACAGTATTGAACCCTGAGGAACCCCACAAGACAAAGGTTGTGGGGTTGAACAGGAGTCTCCCAATAACACCTTCTGAGACCGACCCTCGAGGAATGAGCGGAGCCACTGCAGAACAGTACCTCCAAGACCCATCCCCGCGAGGCGTCCCAGAAGGATACCGTGGTCCTTTCTGGTGGATCCACATCTGCAACTTTTGATAAATTGGGGAGTGCAAGTGTTTTGTGATAGAAATGACAGCTGGATCCAGGCCTCCACAACACAGCACCCTCCAAAGGTTCCCATCGATGTATTATCGAAGGCTTTCATGGTCCAAATCATTGCGTTGCTGTACGTTTTTCGAGCTGTCTGACCATGCTCCAGAAGCATTCTCTCCTGACATTTCGCCTGCAATTATTTATTTATTTTATTTATTTATTCCCTATTTTCTCTTCCTCCTTAGAGCAGTGGTTCTCAAACTGCCTAATGCCGTGACCCCTTAATGCAGTCCCTCATGTTGTGGTGACCCCCAACCATAACATTGTTTTTGTTGCTACTTCATAACAATCATAACAATCCCGCCTCATAGGAAACCTGTTACAAAACAGGAGCTTTTTTGTTGAGTTCCAGGGCCAGAGAAGCAGATGGCGGAGACATAAGAACGGCCTGCCTCAGGGGAGCGTGCTTGCCCCATCCATGTTCAACATCTACACAAATGACCACCCACTGCCAGAAGGGACAGAGAGCTTCATCTAACTGAGCAAAAGCTTCACAGCGAGCTGCCGAGTCATCAGGGCACCCATCCTGAGTGGTGGGTTTTAACAGGCCTCTGACAACTCGGAACAGTTCAGCCGGACGGTTCTTTGCAGACGCAATAGTGGCCGCAAAGAAAGTCTTCTTAGCGGCTTTTATTGCCGCGGCATATGCCCTTAAAAAGGACACAAACCGTGTTCGATTTGGCTCGCTCGGATCTGAACGCCACACGCTCTCTAGTTCCCCCACACGCTCTCTAGTTCCTTTCATGTAATCATAGCCTTCCACTATGAGTGGAGGTCTGTCTCCATGCCAATCATGTATAGAGTTTCTCCCCAGTAGGAATTCTTTGGTGTGAACATAGACCTATGAGTCTAGCTCTGTCCAGACTCTAGGCCAGGGGTCCTCAAATTAAGGCCTGCGGGCCGGATACGGCCCTCCAAGGTCCTTTACCTGACCCTCACTCAGGGTCAATCTAAGTCTGAAATGACTTGAGAGCACACAACAACAACAATCCTATCTCATCAGCCAAAATCAGGTCCATACTTCCCAATGAAATACTAATAAGTTTATATTGGTTAAAATTGTTCTTATTTTAATTATTGTATTGTTTTAAAGTGTTGGTTTTTTGGGGGGGGTTTGCACTACAGATATGATATATGCAGTGTGCATAGGAATTCATTTATGTCTTTTTCCGAATTATAATCCAGCCCTCCAACAGTTTGAAGGACTATGACCTGGTCCTGTTTTAAAAGTTTGAGGACCCTTGCTCTAGGTAGTTCTAGGCACATGTAGAGTTCCTCCCCAGCGTAAACCCCTTGATGTGAATGTAAATTTGAACTACAAGGGAAGCTCTGTCCACATTTCAGGCAGGTATAGGGTTTCTCCCCAGTGTGAGTCCTTTGATGTCTATGTAGATTTGCACTGAGAAAGCTCTGTCCACACTCCATGCATTTACAGGGTTTCTCCATGCATGTATAGGATTTCTGCATGTGTCCCTTGATATGAATGTAAATTTCCACTTAGAAAACCTCTTTCCACATTCCAGGCATGTTTTCCCCAGTGTGAGTCCTTTGATGTATACGTAGACCTGAACTCCAAGTGAAGCTTTCTCCACACTCCAGACACATATAGGGTTTCTCCCCAGTGTGAGTCCTTAGATGCGAACGTAGATTTCCACTCTCAGCGAAGCTCTCTCCACATTCCAGGCATGTATAGGGTTTCTCCCCAGTGTGAATCCTTTGATGTCTATCTAGATGTGCACTCTTAGTAAAGCCCTTTCCACACTCCAGGCATGTATAGGGCGTCCCCCCAGTGTGGGTCCATTGATGCGAACTTAGATTTGCACTTGTAGTGTAGCTCTGTCCACACTCTGGGCATGTATAAGGTTTCTCCCCAGTGTGGGTTCTTTCATGTCTATGTAGATCTGCACTCTTAGTAAAGCTCTTCCCACAATCTAGGCATGTATAGGGTTTCTCCCCAGTGTGAGTCCTTTGATGTATACGTAGACCTGAACTCTGAGAGAAGGTCTTTCCACACTCCAGGCATGTATAGGGTTTCTCTCCAGTGTGGGCCCTTTCATGTGAACGTAGATGTGTACTCTGCGTGAAGCTCTTTCCACACTCCAGGCATTGATAGGGTTTCTCCCCAGTGTGAGTCCTTTGATGCAAACGTAGACTTGAATGATTAGTGAAGCTCTGTCCACACTCCTGGCACGTATAGGGTTTCTCCCCAGTGTGAGTCCTTTGATGCGAACGTAGATTTCCACTCTCGGTGAAGCTCTCTCCGCATTCCAGGCATGTATAGGGTTTCTCACCAGTGTGAGTCCTTTGATGTCTATGTAGACTTTCACTCCGAGCAAAGTTCTGTCCACACTCCAGACATGTATAGGGTTTCTCCCCACTGTGAGTCCTTTGATGTGATCGTAGACCTGAACTGTGAGTGAAGCTCCTTCCACACTCCAGGCATGTATAGGGTTTCTCTCCAGTGTGAGTCCTTTGATGTGAATAAAGACTTGAACTCTGAGTGAAGCTCTTTCCACACTCCAGGCATGTATAGGGTCTCTCCCCAGTGTGAGTCCTTTGATGTGAACATAGATGTGCATTATGAGTGAAGCTCTTTCCACACTCCAGGCATTTATATTCTTTCTCCTTCATGTCAACAGTGATATGGGTGTTGAATTGCAATACAGATAATGGGCTCTTCTTTTATCCTTTCTTATCTGTAAGTGAGGTCAAGAATTCAGCAAGATCATCATCTTGAAAGGATTTCTTCTTCTTATATTATTGGTTTTCTTACTGCAACGAAGAGATGTCTCCATAGAATCCTCATTTCCCTGGTTCTGAAAAACACAAGAAATCAGTAATGAAAGTCAGAAATCTTCTTTACCTCCAAGATGTCCCCCCTTTCATAGTTCTTATTGAAAATGAAAATACAAAGAAATACAGACATCAGGGTCTCAAGCGCATACACAGATACCAGCAAAGGCAATTACTGATTCTTAGAAAATAGGGAATTAATCCAGAAAAAAGAAGTAAAGAAAGAGGAAGACAAGAATGAATGATAGAAGGAGGAAAGGGGAACTCTTTCTAATACTGAAACATCATTGGGTTGAACACAAATATGGATATAGGAACAGAAGACAGGAATGCAGGCAGAAAGGAATGGTTCTTTCCAAAATTGAAGGGCATCAATCACCAGATAATGAGATTCCCTGAATTACTGGAATGTGCTAAATTCTAAGGGACACAAAGATTACTGGAATGCCTCCCATCCCAAATTAGACACCTGCTGCTGCCAGAATAAGATCCGCCTAGTCAAAGCCATGGTATTCCCTGTAGTAACCTACGGATGTGAGAGCTGGGCCTTAGGGAAGGCTGAGCGAAGGAAGATGCTTTTGAGCTGTGGTGCTGGAGGAAGGTTCTGAGAGTGCCTTGGACTGCGAGAAGATTCAACCAGTCCATCCTCCAGGAAATAAAGGGAGGGAAGGAGACTAGAGACAAAGTTGAAGTACTTTGGCCACATCATGAGGAGACAGCAAAGCCTAGGGAAGGCAATTATGCTGGGGAAAGTGGAAGGTAAAAGGAAGAGGGGCCGACCAAGGGCAAGATGGATGGATGGCATCCTTGAAGTGACTGGAATGACCTTGAAGGAGCTGGGAGTGGTGACGGCCGACAGAGAGCTCTGGCATGGGCTGGTCCATGAGGTCACGAAGAGTCGGAGACGACTGAACGAATGAACAACAACAAGCTGCCAGAATTCCTGTTTTTTTCCAAAGGAATTCTATAGCCAACCGTGACCCTGCCTCCTCACCCGTCTAATTCAAAACCACATTGAGGCTTGTTGGGATGTTGACAAAATGAGTCTCTGTTCGACAAAGTCCGCTTTGGGCCATTCACTCCCTTGGATGCAAAGACAAGCGCAACTCCATCCACAATGTCTTCTTTCCCCTGTCAAACTCTTTGACCTTTGCCCACTTTGCTCTTTTCTTTCTTGTCCTTTGCCCACGGGGAGATTTTCAGAGCTAGAGACACAGACTTTTCATACAGAATCGTTCCTAGCAATGTATTTGCAGTGACTAGCGCAATAAATCCTGAGCTGGAGAAGAACGGGCATCTACTCTGAGCAATCCTCCCATAGAAGCCCCCTCACAAATGCCTCACTAAGCATGGGCAAAACTTTAAAAACTGTAGAGCCCTTTTTGAAGGCAAAGTTTCCCGAGAAACTGAAAGGAACTTTTGGACACAGGGGTCACACTGCATTTTAAAATTTGAAAGATGAACCGGGCCAGTGGCCGATGGATGAAGCGTGTTTGTGTGAACTAACTTTTAAAGGAGCACATTCCTATGCACACCGCACATATCTTGTTTGTAGTCCAAAAACAGAAATAAAATATGTAAAATATTTAAAATGAAGAAGAATTTTAACCAGCATAAAATTAGCAGTATTTCAGTGGAAGACCCCAGGGGCCATTCAGCCTTTGATATAATAATAAGAATAATAATAATAAGAAGGGCTGATTCTTGCAACCCAGGAGCAAGCCATCAGAACAAATGCAATTAAGGCCAGGATTGAAAAATCAGCGGATGACCCAAAATGCAGACTGTGCAAGGAAGCGGATGAAACCACGGATCATCTTCTCAGCTGCTGCAAGAAAATCGCACAGACAGACTACAAACAGAGGCACAACTCTGTGGCCCTAATGATTCACTGGAACTTATGTCACAAGTACCACCTGACTAATAAACAACTGGTGGGATCATAAATCTGCAAAGGTAGTGAAAAATGAACACACAAAAATACTGTGGGACTTTCAAATCCACACTGATAAAGTTTTGGAACACAATACACCAGACATCATGATTGTGGAAAAATAAAAAGTTTGGATTATTGATGTCGCCATACCAGGTGAAAGTCGCATTGAGAAAAAACAACAGGAAAAACTCAGATGTGATCAGAACCTCAAAATTGTTGATGTGTTTTGAAATTGTGCAATGTAGTTTTCAAAGTTAGTGTTTGTATGTTTAGAATGTAATCCAATGTGCTGAGAGTATAATTCCTGTTTGGAAAGGGTTAATTTTTTTAAAAAAAATTATTTTATATTCCGCCCTTCTCACCCCTGGAGTCTTTATGGCCTCATAAATTAGTTAATTTAGCCTCCCCACACTTTAAAGTGGTACCTTATTTTCCTACCTGACAGATGCAACTGTCTTTCGGGTTGCAAAGGCCGACAACGGGCTACACCATTGGTTGGAAACCCACTCCAACCCGGGCTGGCTTCGAACTCATGACCTTTTGGTCAGAATGATCTTAATGCAGCTGACACTCAGCCAGCTGCACCACAATCCCAGTTAACTGAATCATGAAGAGAACAGCATTCCTAGAGAGTCATAAATCTTAGTGCGAAGAGCAATGGACGCAGCGTAGTGCATCGTACGTCATACGTCACTCTGGAATGTAAGGAGGTGTGGACTAATTGCTGATAACAGCATGTTCAACTGCGCGATGTGACTGCCGACAGAGATGGAAGCAAGTTTTATGTTCTGCTAGCTTCTAGTGTAATAATGTATAATAAATTAGCTGTTAGACCAGTGTTTCTCAACCTTCCAAATGCTGCGACCCCTTAATACAGTTCCTCATGTTGTGGTGACCCCCAACCATAAAATTATTTTCGTTGCTACTTCATAACTGTAATTTTGCTACTGTTATGAATCGTAATGTAAATATCTGAGATGCAGGATGTATTTTCATTCACTGGACAAAATTTGGCACAAATACCCAATACGCCCAAATTTGAATACTGGTGGGGTTGGGGGGGGGGGGGGTTGATTTGTCATTTGGGAGTTGTAATTGCTGGGATTTATAGTTCACCTACAATCAAAAAGCATTCTGAACTCTACCAACGATGGAGTGGAACCAAACTTGGCACACAGAACTGCCGTGGCCAACAGAAAATACTGAAAGGATTTCTTGGGCATTGACCTTGAGATTTGGAGTTGTAGTTTACCTACATCTAGAGAACACTGTCAACTCAAACAATGATGGATCTGGATCAAACTTGGCATGAATATTCAATATGCCCAAATGTGAACACTGGTGGAGTTTGGGGAAAATACACCTTGACACTTGGGAGTTGTAGTTACTGGGATTTACAGTTCCCCTACAATCAAAGAGCACCAAGGATAGAATTGGGCCAAACTTCCCAAACAGAACCCCCATGCCTTGAAGGGACTCACTGGCACGAGCATCCCTCCAGCCTTGTATGCTCTCCCTCACCCGCACATGCACACTATGCTGCCATGCGCCAAGCACGCCTGCTCTCCCTTCCCCCCCCATGACCAACAGAAAATACTGTTTTCTGATGGTTTTTGGTGACCCCTCTGACATCCCCTCGCGACCCCCCCAGGGGTCCCGACCCCCAGGTTGAGAAGCACTGTGTTAGACTAAAGAGATGTGTTTCCTTGCCTTGCTGTGATGAGATTTACACCAACAAAAATTGAACTGCAAAGGCTTTGGCATAAACCAGTACAGGTGGTCCCAGTGGTCATCAGCACACTGGGTGCCGTGCCAAAAGATCTCAGTCAGTATTTGGAAATAATAAACACTGACAAAATCAGGATCTGTCAACTGCAAAAGGCCACCTTACTTGGATCTGCGCGCATCATTCAAAAATACATCACACAGTCCTGGACACTTGGGAAGTGTTTGACTTGTGATTTTGTGATACAAAATCCAGCATTTTGATCTCGTTTGCTGTGGCCCCATGGCCTGCCGAAAGGAAAGATGGTGGCGGGCTTATCTCTTTCCCCGTCCCCCCATGCTGCCTTTTTGCGGTGCTTTCGTCACTCTGCCTGCCCAGCAGCTGGCGGGTGGTTCCAATCCAAACTGGCAGAGGCGCCCCAGCAGCCATTCCGGGAAGGCAGAGGGGGCAGAGCCTAAGGTGGCAGTGGCGCAACCCCTCACTAATTGCCAATAGACCCTTTTAGGGGTCACAACCCCCAGGTTGAGAACCACTGGTTTAAAGTAACAATAAGTTTGGGGGGAAAAGGAAGACGAAATTAAGTCCAAACAATGAGAATAAGTTGGCAATAATATGGCAAATTAATCACAACAATGATGTAAATATAGGCAGGACATTGAGATTAATTGAAAGTAGAGGGGGAAAGCAAGCTGAGGACTTGTACACAGAAGATGTAAATCCTGTAGAACAAAAAGAAATTCAGAACTGGATGTTGAGACTCAGCTGGAGCCTGAATCGGTGCTAGAAAGGAAGGATAGAAAGGAGGGGAAGCTTAGGCTAAGGGTTAGGGCAAGGTTTAGGGTTTGGGTTATGGTTAGGGGTTATGGTTAGGGTACGATTTAGGGTTAGTGTAAGGTTTAGGATTTGGATTTTTTAGCATAGGGGTTTGGGTTAGCTAAGGGTTAGTGTAAGGCAGGGGTCCCCAAACTACGGCCCCCGGGCCACTTCTGGCCCGCCAAGGGCCCTTATCCGGCCCACAGTGCCCCTCCGTTGGCTGGCTCACGCTATCCGTCAAGCCCAATGGGCAGCGTGAGCCAGCCAATGGCAGCTGCTCCGCATGGCCTACTTGCGCGTAAAGCACCTCGCGAGGTGCTTTACACGCAAGTAGGCCGCATGGGGCTGCTCCTCCCTTGGCAGGCTCACGCTATCCATCAGGCCCGATGGACAGTGTGAGCCAGCCAAGGGAGACTGTCCCGGCGCTCCATGCAGTCATGCCGGCCACATGACCTTGGAGGTGTCTACGGGCAACGCCGGCTCTTCGACTTAGAAATGCAGATGAGCACCACACCCCAGAATCAGACACAAGTGGACTTCA